TTGTCAGGAGGTGTTTTACCTGTCAACAAGTCAAAGCCGAACATCAAAGTCCGATCGGCCTCCTGCAGCCACTGCCGATTCCGAGGTGGAAGTGGGAGGAAGTCACGATGTATTTCATTACGGGATTACCGAGGTCGTCTGAACACCACGATGCTATCTGGGTCGTGGTCGACAGATTGACTAAGGTTGCGCATTTCTTACCCGTTTCAATGAAGATGTCTTTGGATAAGTTGGCTAAGATATATACCTGTGGGATCATCCGACTCCACAGAGTGCCCGTTACTATTGTATCAAACAGAGATCCCAGATTCGTCAGTAGATTCTGGCACAGTTTACACGAGGCGATGGGCACGAAGCTAGAGTTCAGTTTAGCCTACCATCCGGAGACAGATGGTCAGTCCGAGAGGACCATTCAGACACTTGAGGATATGCTTTGCGCTTTGGTTGTGGACAGGGGTGCTAAGTGGGAGTCGTTGTTGCCGTACACCGAGTTCGCGTATAACAACAGTTATCATTCTTCCATTCAGATGGCTCCTTACGAGGCACTTTACGGTCGCAAGTGTCGTTCCTTTCTTTATTGGGACGACGTCGGAGAGCGACGAGTACTCGGTCCTAAGTTGATCGAGGAGACCGCAGATTAGGTCGAGTTGATCCGGCAGAGACTCAAGAAAGCTCAGAGTCGACAGAAATCTTCAGCCGATCATCGACGAGACATTCAGTTCGAGATTGGCGAGCCAGCTTTTCTCAGAGTTCGTCCGATTCGCGGAGTCGTTCGATTCGGAAAGAGAGGGAAGCTGCACCCTCGATTCATTGGTCCGTTCGAGGTCCTGGAGCGAGTAGGTGAAGTCGCGTATCGATTAGCCCTACCTCCCGAGTTATCAGGCATTCATAATGTGTTCCACGCATCTATGTTACGTAAATACGTGTGCGACCCCGATCATATTATTCCTCATTCAGACATTCAGGTTCAGCCAGATCTCTCGTACGAGGAGCGACCGGTAGCTGTACTGGACCATCAGGTTCATCGGCTCCGGAAGCGAGATGTTCCCCTCGTGCGTATTCAGTGGAATCGCCACGGAGCTACTTGGGAGACGAAGTCCGATATTCGAGCTCGTTTTCTAGATTTTCAGTTTTGATGTACATATTTTTATGTTCCATGTACATAGTTCATGTATAGTCAGTTATGTTTCGAATTTCCGAGGACGAAAATTTTTAAGGAGGGAGGATTATAATATCCCGTCAGCTTATCAGTATAAATTATGTTTTAGTTCCGATATATTAATATTGTCGAGTATTAATTTTCGGAATAAATTATTTTCAGTCATTTCAGTCGAGATTACCAGAAATTATTTTCGACGTTCCGTTTATGTTCGGAATAATTTTTGTAATTAAGTATTATGCTTAATAATTAATTAAGCATAATTAAGGGATTAATTAAACATTAATCACACATTAATGCTAAAAAGCCGTGCGGACTTTTGTGATGTATTTTCCCAAATTTCATAAGTAATTTTCCTAAGTATAAAGGAAGTATATTTCCTTCTCATTAAGCAATGGCACGTGTCACTTTGGGAGGATTATGAGAGGGATTAGTCATCCCTAAAGTTCCTAATTAATCTCCAAGTGTCAAGTTATTTTTAAGACAACAAAACCTATCATCACTAATTGTTCTCTTCGGCTTGCTATATAATGAGGCATTTGGATAATTTTTCCCAACTTTTCCTTAAGCGTATATAAGCCATATCATACCTATATTATAAGAGTGAAGTTAGGAGAATTGGTGAGATTGGTGAGCATAGCCTTGAGTTCTTTCATATCGCACGCACGGCAAGGGCTAGTATCGCACGCACCACCTAGAGCTTCCCTTCGCACGGAGGTGTGGTCAATCGAGGGTTGCAAAGGTAACATCAGCTTATCTTTGAATTGATTATGTTAATGATAAGTTAGTTCAATCGTAACTTAAGTC